TCCATCGATATATAAGAGAAATCTTAAGTCCATGGGTAAAACTACAAATATTGGAACGCAAACTTTAAATCACAGAAAGGCCGTAATAACTGTCTTGTTAACTATGATTGTTAAGAAAATAACATGTTTGTTTCCAGATAAAGTACATTTAGGGAAATTCGTCTTTATTGTCTTGGAATGTTTATAAGAAATTAAGCTTATGGTGGGTCAGGAATCAAATTGGCTACTTAAAGAAAGTTTATTTCTTTCTCTTTATTTTTTTTTTAAATAAGTAACATTAATCTCTCCCGTTTAAGTTTATATAAAGTCACATAAGTGACGATAAAACAATGATTTACTGGTGCAACCTTAAGTGCTTCATTTACTTGAGAACTTGATATAAACTTGAGCATAAGTTAATTATAAAAGTTGTGTCATTAAGATGACAACTTGAACCAAAGGCTTAGGTTACACGTTAAGCACATTTCAAGTAAACATATACACTCTCCTTGAGGAGTTAGATAGCGCAGGTGGTAAGCGCGTTAGACCTGTGATCGTGAAAGTTAAGCAACTTTCGCAATGGTCTGTCATTGGATGGGTGATCAAAAACTCATTATGTCGAGCCCCTTCGTACTTCGGAAGGCACGTTAAGCCTTTGGTCTCAGCTGCATCTGCAGTCGTTACCAATGACCCGCGTTGTGGGTCACATCCCAGTCTCCACATTCCATCCACAGGGAAGGCCTATTCCCCTGCGGTAGGGACATTACATTCACCGACTTCATTGGCCTCCACTCAGATTATAGAAAAATATAATTATTTGAAACACAAATAACTTACTCATATAAAAACATAATAATATATGACGTATACAAACAAATGAATTTAAAGAAAATATTACTAAAAAAAAATCCACGCGGACCAGGCAGCAGACGGGACTCGAACCCGCCTTTCGCTATTCGGGCGAATGCACTGACCAATTATGCTACCGCGGCCCTGATGGCCGTGTCGAATTCTTTCTAGCCTTTCTTAAGCTGCAAGGCAGCGCCATCTCTTCGCATTGTAGGTAACCCATAATATCAAATTAATACCTTTACAAATATTTAACATTTTACATTTGAAATAAGAAACAGCAAATATAGTTATAATTTAATTTTTTTAAGCATGTAACTGCTCGATGTTAGATAAATTAATTTGTTTGACAAAATGATATAGAGACACGTAATTGTAATACGATGTTTTCAAATATTGTGTAGAAGAGCTGGTATTCTTTATACTATCTGTTTTAGGCTAGAATATTTAATAACTCACCCGATAACCTGAAAAAATCATAATGTAATTAAAGCTTCAAATTTTACCGATGGCTTCCTCTGACTGATATGTTTTTTATATTGCTACTTTTAATTAAATTGATTTATGATAGTTTTATAGTTTATGAGGAGCTCCATGGCGCAACTAGTTAGCGCGTTCGGCTACGATCGTTGAAGTTAAGCAACTTTCCCAGTGGTCGGTCATTGGATGGGTGACCAAAAATTTATTATCTAGAACTCCTCCGTGCTTCGGAAGGCACGTTAAGCCGTTGGTTCCGGTTGCATCTGCAGTCGTTAGCACCCACCAATCCGCACTGGGCCCACGTGGTGAGTCATGGCCCAATCTCCCTATTCCATCCATAGGGAAGGCCTGTGCCCCAACAGTGGGGACATTAATAGGCTGATGATGATGATAGTTTTGTATTTACTAGATAGGATAGTAGATAATCCCTAGGATTATCGCGAGAATTCGATTTATAAAATCATCCTATGACATAATTTTGAATTGAATATACTACTAACTATTCTGTGAATATTTCAAGTTTCTACTTACCTGTTGCCGTTATTTAAGTAGAGCAAAAAACACCTTTGTTTTATGGAAGCCCCCCTTAAATATTTATTTTATTATTATATACTAGTTGCCCGCCCTCGCTTCGCTTCGGTGTAGAGCTGTAGTGTAAACTATAGTTTTTGTTCTCAGGCTTGTGTTATAAACAATAACTTTATTTATATAATTACACGTGTTATTGTGAGTCAACCATAAAAGATAGACATATGCTGTTGCAGGATATTTTTTAAACAATTTTATGTAGAATATTTCCGTCATACATTATTTCTATGTAACTTTAACCATTAAAGCTGCACACGCGACGGAAGCTTAAAAAATGGAGTAACTTCTCCCGTTTTTCCAATATTTCCCTTCACTACTCTGCTCCTATTGATTGTAGCGTGATGAAAAGTATACTATAACCTGCCCAGGAGTATGAAGAATAATTGTACCAAGTTTCGTTAAAATCTGTCGAGTAGTTTTTGTTTCTATAAGTAACATACACACAGACAGACAGACAGACAAAAATTTTACTGATTGCATTTTTGGCATCAGTATCGATCACTAATCATCCCCTGATAGTTATTTTGAAAATATATTTCATGTACAGAATTGACCTCTCTACAGATTTATTATAAGTATAGATTTTTAGTATATTGTTGTTATAGCAGCAGCAGTTACAGTTATACATTACCTTTGAAAATTTCAATTGTCTAGCTACCACGGTTAATGAGATACAACCTGCTGACAGACAGACAGACAGCTGATTCTGAGTAATCAGGTCCCATTTTTACCCTTTGGGCACGGAACCCTAATAACGGTGGAGTCTAGAAAATCTGTGCCATTCACCCCTTTAAACTATGGAGGCGGCACTATCGGGGTCGATGATATTTTTTTTCCCAATCATCCCGTTAACGGGGCTTGACAACAGGGGTGGATGGTATCGACTCATTAGTCTTCACAACTACTTATAAACTTCTATTTTCGTGCCAGTTAAATTGAATGTCATCGAAGGACAATGGCCAATATTGGTCCGAAACGTTTACGTAGAGTACCGAGTAACTGCAGGTTACTTTGACCTAAAATGTGCACTTTTTTTTCAAATAAAATTGTAGCTTCTCTTTGTGATGAATATGTCACGTTTATATCTTTCCATTGTGAACTTTAAAGTATAAGTAAAAATAATATTTAAGGGTTAATATACATTTTTTTTAATTTTGGGCCAAAGTTGGCCTTAAAGAGGGTTACTTTAGCTCGTTGAGTTTTCTCTGTGAAATAAACTCATTTTAAGCCATGTTGGGGTTAAGTAACCCTTATAACAGATCACCATTAGCATACAGAATACACTAATGGATGTTTTTGCCCAAAAATAATCAAGTTAAATAAAAAATATAACTTTAAATTTAGAAAAAATTGTATACTTACCGAAAACCACAGTTTTGAGAAAGTTTGCGCATGAACTTGCGAACTATTTCAGTTACAAAAAATCCCGCGTTACAATGACAACTTGATACAGGAACAATGTCGGTAAAACAACACCACACTGCGCCATATGGCTATCTGTGATTTTCAACTGGAACTATTACGGTCACCCAAGAGATACTGATGGGGCGGCAAGTTCAATATTTTTTCTGATTTGGGACAAAGTTACCCGCCCGAGCTAAAGTAACCCTCACTTACGGTAACTATTTATATCAGTGCTGGCTTGAACAATTCACTCAGCGAATAACAATTTTATAGATTTTTTAACAAACTATGCATTTTGCTAGTTTCCTAGTATGCACTGTTTAATTATTAGGCTTTCGCTACATATTTATTTAGGTAAATATGGTGGCAAACAAACATATGGTCCACCTAATGACAAGTAAACTTTTATGAGAGGTAGCGGGCACAGCGAAATTACCGGTAGAACAGGGTATTTGACAGTATTCAAAATAAAGTGCCAATTGTTTGCATCTGCGCTTAGAATGCATATTGCCAATATTAGTTAGGAGTTTTTACTATTTTTACAGAAAAAATATTCATAATTTTATTAAAAACCCACGAAAAAAGATAATAGTTTTCTTATCTATTATAAAATGACGTCACTTACAAGTAAACTTCCGGTTAAAGTGACATTACATTTTATCGTTTGACGTTTTAATAACAGTCGTGTGACGACACACACCAATGAGACGCCATATTGTCCAGAGAAACGTTTTCGCGGCAACTTGAATATGGAGGTTTTGATTTAGTTATTTTTACTGAAATACACAACAGAATGATGAATATCCACTTTTTATGGACTCCATAAACATTAGTCAATAACGAGAGATCGTTTTCTAAAACTTGTCAAATACCCTATTGAAGCGCTTGTCTGGAGAATCAACCTCCTCCTTACAGACGAACACAGTAAAATAACATTATCTTTTGGTGGTGTTTAAAGCACAGAGGAGACCGAGATAATAAGATTTTGGTACCAACAATCCGCACTGGGCCTAGAGCGGAGTGGCACCAGTCCAGGATCAGCCAAATGCGAAAGCTCCCGGTTCATCGTCACCACTGCCGGTCCATTGCACACGCTCATAGTCCATCAATCATAAAACAAAGCTTAAAACTAAGTCCACAACCGCTAGGTTGTGATAGAATTATTTGCCTAGCTCCCATCCGTCATACTGTCCTAAAAGAAACTTCGTTTCAAAAGATCGTTACGTATTCCTCTCGTGTGTCTTTTACTTTATCCGTATACTTGTGAGTTGAAAACACGTCTAACTTTAATTGGACTGCATTACTTTGCCCGCATGTGTAGCTACACCCAAACGCAGGCGAACAAGAAATTTTGTTTTTGTCATGGCTCCTCAACAAGTTTATGGTACCAGACAACTGATTGAAGTCCATAAAAACCTCTATGATGAATAAGTTAGAGATAGCAACTGGCACATCATGTTTTCCTTTTACTCCTAGTTTTTTTTTATACGAGGCGCAACAAATTAGCCCACCCCACCCAATTTTAAGTGTAAGTGGAGTCCACGAAGATAGATGACACCGAAGAATGTGTGCCGCCCCTGCCATCCTCACCATACCACCCTGTTACACACCCATCCTCACCTTACCGCCCTGTAACACAGCCATCCTCACCATACCGCCTTGTTACACAGCCATTCTCACTATACCGCCTTGATACACAGGCATCCTCACCTTACCGCCCTGATACACAGCCATCCTCACCTTACCGTCCTGATACACAGCCATTCTCACCTTACCGCCCTGATACACACCCATCCTCACCTTACCGCCCTGATACACAGCCATCCTCACATTACCACCTTGATACACAGGCATCCTCACCTTACCGCCCTGATACACAGCCATCCTCACCCTACCGTCCTGATACACAGCCATTCTCACCTTACCGCCCTGATACACAGCCATCCTTACCTAACCGTTTTGATACACAGCCATCCTCACCTTACCGCCCTTATACACAGCTATCCTCACCTTACCGCCCTGATACACAGCCATCCTCACCTTACCGTCCTGATACACAGCCATTCTCACCTTACCGCCCTGATACACACCCATCCTCACCTTACCGCCCTGATACACAGCCATCCTCACATTACCACCTTGATACACAGGCATCCTCACCTTACCGCCCTGATACACAGCCATCCTCACCCTACCGTCCTGATACACAGCCATTCTCACCTTACCGCCCTGATACACAGCCATCCTTACCTAACCGTTTTGATACACAGCCATCCTCACCTTACCGCCCTTATACACAGCTATCCTCACCTTATCGTCCTCTGATACACAGCCATCCTCACCTTACCGCCCTTGTACACAGCTATCCTACCTTACCGTCCTGATACACAGCCATCCTCACCTTACGGCCCTGATACACAGCCATCCTAACCTAAGCGCCTTGATACACAACCTTCCTCACCTAACCGCCCTGATACACAGCCATCCTCACCTTAACACCCTGATACACAGCAATCCTCACCTTACCGCCCTGATACACTACCATTCTCACCATACCACCCTGTTACACAGCCATTCTCACCTTACTACCCTGATACACAGCCATTCTCACCTTACCGCCCTGATACACAGCCATCCTCACCTTACCACCCTGATACACAACCATCCTCACCTTACCCAGCTAAGACCACATCATCGTTGCTTCACACACCACACTCTAAATCTTTAATACAAAAAAATCATTTTAAACAACAAACTCATATGAAGGCCAACCATCGTGAAACATGCTAAGAAGCTTCCGCAAACGCAGACTGAACGCGTTTACCACTGCGCCGTCAAATCGTCAGTACCCTAAGTTTGCTCATGACGCGAAGAAATATATATATTTTTATTTATCTTTTCCAATGAATCGGGTAAAAAATCTACTATTGTCACGTCATATTACCCTTCGATCGCCTAACAGGAAAATAAGCGCCAACAAAATCATGTTTCTATTATTAGGCCGATAAATCAGATCCAGGACGTCAAACAAAGCCCAGTTGTTTATCTGTAAGGTGCTTCGTAAGCCCACCCCCTCCCCATAACGATCGTTGATGGTCTACAAATATTTACCTCGGACAATAGGATACAGCCTAAATAGCTTCAGTACACCAAAAGAAATAACTAAATCTTCCATCGTAAACGATAAAAGTAACAGATTCTCTCACTCTTATTGCGTCATGAAAATCTCCGCAAGAGTAGTCAATCTTGATATTTAATCAGTATTATTTACCAGCGAACCTAGAAGGCAGTTGCTTTGTACCAAGCGTCTGACAAAATGATATTTTCCGAAAGTGATAATAAGACCAGGACGACGCTACCTGCTAGGTGAAGTTGTAAATTTACACCATGCAGTGACCCACTTAAATGATGAAAATTTAATTAAATCCGACCCACCCGTTTGTGAGGAATTCAGTTATCTCTCAGTGACCCACAGAATCTATATATATAAAACTCAAAGGTGACTGACTGACAGTGATCTATCAACGCACAGCCCAAACCACTGGACGGATCGGGCTGAAATTTGTCATGCAAGTAGATATTATGACGTAGGCATCCGCTAAGAAAGGATTTTGATCAATTCTACCCCCAAGGGGATAAAATAGGGAATGAAAGTTTGTATGAAACTTTGTCAATTTTAAACCGACCGGGCTGAGACTTTGCATGCAGGTATAAGAAGAATCATAGATGAATGTCATGGTGTATAATACAAGCCTGAGAACAAAAACTGCAGTCTACACTTCAGCTCTACACCGAAACGAAGCGAGGGCGGGCCGCTAGTAACATATAAAAGTGTAGAGACAAATGATCATGGAATGGTTGTGCTCACATAAAATTACACTGTGGCACGCCACAATATCGTAACAAATTGTTCAATTGGCGATTCTCGCAGTTTTATTATTATAACGAGGGAAACACTCGCTGTATTAATTGGTCCGAATTTCACAAAGTGCTTTTCGCGCTGTTTTCAAAACAGACTCATCCGATAGTTTCCTACATAAATTTTCCGTTGCAGTAATCAACGATCTTTAAAAGCGCGCAGAGTTTATTTTAAGCTCGAAATATAGAGTTCATATAGGGAACTAACTATCCTTAGCTAATTAATTCAAAATTATCAAAAATCTATTTAAATTGAAGTACCATTATACTCGTAGAAATATATCAGACATATGTAGCCACCGGTATGATTTGAAGCTTAAGTGTCGCCGCTAACGGGGCACCGACCACAACCACAAAACGCCGCCACCGGCATATTTCTTGTAGTTTTCATACATTTTATATGGATTCGCCACACACGGTATGCCGGTGGACGCCACACGCTACAAATCGTCGTTGCTCGCTTCTTAATGCGCCGATACAATACGCCGCCACACGTCACTCGCGCGATTCCCCACCCCGCTCTCCCTTACCTTAGTCGGCCGCTGTCGCGCGCTTCAGCCACTTTAGTAGCCGCTTCTAGCTTCTCGTGGCGGCGTTTGTGGCTGTGGCGTGTGGCCCGTGTGCGGCGACACTAAATTTCATCAGTCATTTTTTTGGTTACCGGGTGAGTTATTAAATATTCTAGTCCAACACAGATAGCATTTGTAGGTATTTAGAATACCAGCTATTCTACACAAGATTTGGAAATATTGTATTGTAAATTGTGTCTCTATATTATTTTGTCAAAAATAAATTCATTTGTTTATATACGCCAAAGAACGTACAAAACTATTATAAATCAAATAAAAAAGGCAGCATTTCCTATAAAATCATATCAGACATATATTATGTAGCATTCGGTATAGTATGAAGCTTAAATTCCATAAATTCCATCAGTAATTTTATTACGTTATCGGGTGAGTTTTTAAATATTCCAGTCTAACACAGGTAGCATTTGTAGGTATTTAGAATACCAATTCTTCTACACAATATTCGGAAATATCATATTATAATAAAATTGACAGTCTCTATATTATTTTATCATAAATAAATTCATTTGTTTGTGTATACATATTCAAATTCTCGGGAAATACGTCAAAACGGATACGTCAAAAGAAGATTTGGGAAAGATGAAACACTTATTTTTTCCATATTACACACAACATGAATACGTGACCGTCAAAAAGCTTGATCAAATTCAAATCTTTTTATTTCTTTTCTTTCAAGATTGTAGCAGACTTATCAACTCTTTGACTTAACAATCGCATCACGAAGAAAAAAGAGTTTGTCCCAAGGCGAGGCGATTACGCTACGATTCCGATTATTTATTTATTTATTTACTTTATTCAGAAAGTGGTTTTATATAGAATACTGAACTCAATTTGATACAATGACGATCCCTCTCCGAGTTTATTTACTTTCCGAGTCTGCTTGAACTTAAAACGAGTTTCAACTGTGCTTTTATAATATTTTTATACATTCTGAGAAAGTTTTTAAATAATTTTAACTATCTACCTAAAGGTAAAATTAATGTTTAAATTATAGTGTGAAAAAAAAGATTATTTTTCGATCATAGCTCTTCTCAAAACGATTTAAGAACTCTCTCGTAGCACGAAACCTAAAAGATCGGGAACGTCGGAAAATGTATAAAATTTATTAAAAAGTACGAGTTCAGTTGAAACCCATTCAAAAAGTGTTTTATCTAATTTCAAATGTGTTCCAAACATCGTTAAAGAAATTTATTGAGCGAGGCTTCAGAGCTTATCCTAAATTTCATAATTTATTATTATTGTACCATGTAGGGCTCTTCACCGAAAAATTACCTATAGAGCTCCAGAATACTCACCGGTGACTGTAGTCGAGTAAATAACTGAAGAAAATACCTGTTAATTACTAGCATATCAATAACTCGAGGAGGAGCTCGATGGCGCGGGTGGTTAGCACGTTCGGCTGCGATTGTTGAAGTTAAGCAACTTTCGCAGTGGTCGGTCATTGGATGGGTGGCCGAAAATATTGTATCTCGAGTTCCTCTGTGCTTCGGAAGGCACGTTAAGCCGTTGGTCCCTGCTGCGTCTGCAGTCGTTAGCATCCGCCAATCCGCACTGGGCCTGCGTGGTGGGTTATGGCCCAATCTCCCTATTCCATCCATAGGGATCCTTCCCTATGGATGGAATAGGGAGATCCCATGTGCCCCAGTAGTGGTGACATTAATAGGCTGATGATGATATCATATAGATGATATCAATAACTCTTTTAAATAGGTATCTCTATACTAAGTTTTGTGCTTTCTTGATACTGCGAAATATTTGTAATGGGTGATTTAAAATGGTAAACAGCTACTTTTTATTTTATTTCAAGAATATTGTTTGTTTAATAAGTGATCATGGCAAAATGAATATACCTAATTTATTTTTGTACAGGTTTTTAGGAGTCTTTTAAGTTCGATTGACATGGAATTCTAATTAAATTTCAATCATTTGGTGTGATCAGAGCCGTAAAAAATTTATTTTGTTTTTGTTTTTTTCATTTTTTCTCAGGTGAGCCGTCGCATTACGTGCACGTATACGACGCGTCGTTTGCCCTCCATAATAAAAGTTTATAGAATAATTAGTACTTAAATTAGTTTAGATCATTACATTACTTCAATGTAAAGATTTTTAAACTTCCATTTCCATCCATTTGGACCCCCTTCAACTTTTGTTTCCGTGGCAAAAAGAAGCATATCTCCTCCTTCGAGGTTTCCTTTACCGACATACCTAAATTCATCAAAAATGGTTTGGTGCGGTGGTGTTTAAAAGCTCAACAGACAGATACTTATTTGTTTAAGCCTGTTGTAACTTTTTGAAGTTATACTTCTTTAGGCGCGTTATGAAAAAATGATGAGAGTGAAATTTTAAGATGCGCGCGCATCACTGTAACACAAAATTTTCGCTAAAGCGACCAACTTCATGCTGTTACTTTTGTGTTTACCGCACATAAAGAAAATCTACCAACAAAATAGAAACAGAATCTCTATTTAGTGGGTGCTAACGACTGCATTGTGAAGGCCTATCAAAAGTATTTATTAATCTGGAACAACGGAACCAAAGCGCGATTCAGGAGACTACAGCGCCATCTCTTGACCATTGGTGTAGTAGAACCAAAAACCACATCTTTATTTTTTGTAATAAAGTAACAGTTATAGGTATTCATATTTATAATATTTATCCACATGTTTCTAGTTTGTATATTCGGAATACGTGTTTGAGTTTCATACAACTGCAAATCATATATGTTCTAATAAATTATATTCAGTAGCGATTTTAATTGAATATTTTGATTATTTATTTATTTTTTCAAAATAAAACTGAACTTTATTGACTGTGTCCTTTTCCAGACTTTTTATTAATTTATTGTAATTAATTATTTGCATGCAATTAAAAACTAA